TTGGTGAGCCTGTGACAATTGTAGCATCAGTTTCCTGTTCCTAGCTGACAGGAGTGGCACCCGGTGTGGTCTTCAGCTGCTGTAGCCCATCTGCCTCAAGGTTAGATGTTGCTGTACATTAAGAGATGCTCTTCTGCATACCTCAGTTGTAATGAGTGGTTATTTGAGTACTGTTGCCTTTCTATTAGCTGGAACCAGTCTGGCCATTCTTCTCTAACCTCTGGCATCAACAAGGCATTTGCGCCCACAGAACTGCCGCTCACTGGATATTTTCTCTTTTTTTGACTCTTCTCTGTAAACCCTAGAGATGGTTGTGCGTGAAAATCCTGACCATGTCCATATGACTGAATGCACTGAGTTGCTGCCATGTGATTGGCTGATTAGAAATTTGTGTTAACGAGTAGTTGGACAGGTGTATGTAATGAAGTATGTTTGAATAGTTTTGCAAAGTTATAGTTATGTCATCAGTATCACAGGCTCCTTCAGAATATAATGTTTTCATTTAATGCTCTTTTATCATCCATTATTTCATAGTCTGTCTAAATTCTTGATTCTGATTGGCTGGAAGGTGTGCATTTTTTTATTTTATTCCATGATTCCATTTCTCTCCAGGTTTTTTCCTTCACTTTCATCAATTGGTAAAGTTTGTTCCTCTCCACTGTCACCACTGGCTTGCTTGGTTTGGGACTTGTGGAGCTTGATAGATTTGCTCTTCAGTGTTTGGACTTTCAGCAGTGAAATTTAAACTAAACTGAACTCAGCTCAACTGAACTGTGAAAACTGGTCTGACAGTTTTAATTTACTAGAACTTCTATGTTAAGATGACACAATCTACTGTTTAAAAAACACTATAGAAATAAAGATGAGTTGAACTGGACTAAGTATCTAAAATTGCTTTTGATCACAGTGTCAGACTGAGACCTAAAACCAGTCAATCAACAATAGGGGGCATGACAGAGATATCAAAAAGTTTAAGGTCTTGTTAAGTTATGGACCTGTTTGTTTCGGTGCTTTTAAATATCAGCATCATTTGGCAAAATTTAATTAGTGTGCTAATAATTTTATAAGAAAGATATAAAGAGATAGTTTACCCAAAAATGAAAAATTATTTACTCATGCTAATGTTGTTCCAAATTCAACAAACTTTTATTATTCTTTGGAACACAAAATAGGGTACTTTAGAATTGTATGCTGAAATTTGTTTAACAAAATTGTTATAATGCACATGCTGTTTCAGTTATTTTTCATCACAGTTTAAACTAAAATTACTAACATTAATTACCAGCAGCAGCCATAGTAACTCTGAGACAGTTGCAGGAGCCTACATTCATCTGCGTATTCTTGATGAAAATATTACAATATCTCAAAAATATTATCAAAGAGGTAGCTAATACATGTTATTATGAGCTATTAGATATGCCTGTGTTATGATATTTGCTTTTAAAAGATTTAAGTTTCAAAGTTTACTAAATCTTAAGCACAATTATTGTTTTTTTATGTTTTAAGAGAGGGTTGGGCTCAACATTTAAATGTTTAATATGCAGTCTCCTATTCATTAAGGTTTATTTTTCATTATTCTACTTATTTTGTTCTTTATCACAAGACACTTTTCAGTTCTATAGCGCATTGTGACAAAAGAAGTCTGCCTGTTCAAAATAATATTAAAAAGCAAGCACTAGGGTTTTGTTACTTGTACCGAAACAAACCTGTATCTAACAGTGATTCCAATACCAAGAAATGTACCAAACTGTGACTTCTGTGTACTATTATACCCCTAGAGCTGAAAGCAGTATAAGGCAGGGCTTCTTAAAGTCAGGACTCCGGATCCGAACCGTAAGGCTATTAAATCCGGACCTACCCCATTTTATATTACAAGACTAAGCGTAAAGGCTGGTAGTTTTCCTTCATTGATAAATGTACAAAGCTCAACTATTATTTTTTTGTGTTTTTCTTAAAAAAAAAAAATGCAGGTCGAAATAAAAACAAAAATAAAATATTTAAAGTGTTTCTGCGTGACTCTGGTTTTATGACATCCAGTGATCATACAAGGCTTCACATTGGACATTACATTACTTTTGTATTTTTCACCTTTTATGGCCTACCATGTGTTGTATTTTATAGTCTGCTATTATTTATTTAACTGCTATTAATATAAAATATATATTTATATATAACTTATTCATTCACTCTTCATGCAATTTATTAAGTCAAATCAAAGAGTCAGGTCCATAGCCAAGGGGGGTTCAGGTGGTTTGAAAGACCAACATTTGTATTAATATTATTAATACTATTATTATTATGTTTGAATATTTTTTTTTTCAGATGGCCAAATTCTGACTAAGGATAGTTTAATGTGCTGGCCAGTTTGTTATTCGTCTAGAGGCTTCAGTTTTGTTATGTTTTTTTAAATGTAATGATGGATGATAATACATTTGTATGTTAAAAATAAGTATCTTTTCATATTTCTTTATTCAAAATTTATATTATTTTTAAACTGTAATATAAAACTTAAAGTTTAAATACACATTTGTAAATAAACACTTAAAAAATAAAATAGTACGGTAAGCAATTTAACAGAATGGTAGGAAATATTTTTAGTACATCAAAAGTGTGGTTATGATAACTATCCGACAAGCTAATCCAACAAACATTCGTTTTTAAAATGTCACTAAAATATGTATACCTCATAATTAAATAGAAAATTAAAATAATAACAGCAAAGAGGTTTAGTTTTTCTGAAAAACAAATAACCACCCCTTTTAATAAGCTGACTATGAGCCTGATAGTGTAATGTTAAAGTTGTTTTTTAACTGATAAAGTGAGATTTTAATAAACACTTCTGGCCAATGAAACATGCCTCATATATCAGTATTATAATAGATAAAGCACACAGGCTGTAGTTTTTCTGACAAATTCAACCGAAATTGGACCTTACTCTAAGAGATTTGGAGGATGCAGGGATCATATACTTTTACATTCTGCTGTTAGTTTTCAGGGCATATTATTAACAGACTGACAGTCTGCTATAATGATAGACTGTGCGTTAAAGTGGGAACAGCATGAGCATTAACGGCATTATCATGATGGCCTTATTCAGTAGGGAACTTGAGTTTACAGTTGAAGTCAAAATTATTAGCCCCCCTCATTTTATCCCCTCTCAATTTCTGTTTAACGGAGAGCAGATTTTTTTTCCCCCACACTTTTCTAAACATAATAGTTTTAGTAACTCATTTCTGAAACAGATTTATTTTATCTTTGTCATGATGAAATAAATAATATTTGACTAGATATTTTTCAAGACACTTCTATACAGCTTAAGGTGACTTTTAAATGCTTAACTAGGTTAATTAGGTTAACTAGGCAGGTTAGGGTAATTAGACAAGTCATTGCTTAACAGTGGTTTGTTCTTTAGACTATCGAAAAAATATATAGCTTAAAGGGGTTAATCAATCTGACCTTAAAAAATTAAAAACTGCTTTTATTCTAGCTGAAATATAACACAATAAGACTTTCTTCAGAAGAAAAAATAAAAACAGACATACTGTGAACATTTACTTGCTCTGTTATGCATAATATGAAAATATTAAATTAAATTAATCAAAGGGGGGGCTAATAATTCTAAATTTAACTGTATTTGATTTACACTTTTCATTGAAAAAAGCTTCTTATATCCACCATTTTTTTTTTTTTCTGTTGCCGCCATCCTCACACACCTCACAAACCTTATTGTTGCAAAGTAATTTCACCTGCAGTTTTGGTGCTGCTTGTATTTGAACACAGCTACAGCCTCTGAAAGCAGGGAAGGGAACAGCCAATCACAATGTTCATACAGTATGTGTTTGGGACTGAGAGACGAGATTTAACCCTTTCATCTTCAAGTTATTATTGGCAGCGCAAGTGAATTAAACTATTGGTGGGGACACTTCAATAGTTGGCGGATATTGGTAAGGACGCGCCCCCTACGTCCATGCTAAATCTATATCCCTGGACTAGAGGCTACTGTGGCCGCAGATGTGCTCGCATCATTCAATTCTGTTCAATTCAATTCAATTCATCTTTATATGATACATCAATAGTACTTTTACAATGTAGATTGTGTCAAAGTAGTTTCACATCGAAGATTATAGAAATTTGAAACAGTGTCAGTTCAGTTTTTAGTGTTGAAGTTCTGTTTAGTTCAGTTCATTCATTCGTTCATTTCCTTGTCGGCTTAGTCCCTTTATTAATTCGGGGTCACCACAGCGGAATGAGGCGCCAACTTATCCAGCAAGTTTTTACGCAGCGGATGCCCTTCCAGACGCGACCCATCTCTGGGAAACATCCACACACACACATTCACACACACATACACTATGGACAATTTAGCCTACCCAATTCACCTGTACCGCATGTCTTTGGATTGTGGGGGATCCAAAGCACCCGGAGGAAACCCGCGCGAACGCAGGGAGAACATGCAAACTCCAAACAGAAACGCCAACTAAGCCGAGGCTCGAACCAGTGAACCCAGCGACCTTCTTGCTGTGAGGCGACAGCTCTACCTACTGCATCACTGCTTCGCCCTAGTTCAGTTCAGTGTCGTTTTATTTTCCCTGCAGAGAATTGAAGAGCAAATCCATCGCATGCAGCTCCATGGGTCCTAAAACATGCAAGCCAGTGGCAACAGCGGCGAGAAAACATTCAAAGCAATGGCCTGTTCACTTTGCACTAATTTAGGGATTTTATTATGCTACAATCATAGCTCTGTAAGGATTATTTTCTGTGAGGTGCCTTGATTAATTGTAAAACTGTCTTCTACTACTGTAGCATGGGACATCCAGCAACAACAAAAAGTTTTCAGTTATTTCAGGAGTATTCATTATACTTATTATGTTATTATAATATATTATATATATTTTCATCATATTAGGATGAGTGAATGTACAGAGACACAGAGAAGTATTTCTAGGTAATCTGACACACACCACAACATAAAACATAAACAAACATAAAACAAACCTTACCTCTCTTCCCTAATGCATTTACAAACACACGGCAAGCGGTAAAGAGGGAGAAGGAGAATTATGAAATGCAGTGAATAATCAGATTCTTACACACAGTGAACATTAAGAAACATTTCTTTACACCTTTGCTTTTACTCTACAAACTGTGTGAGTGTGAAAGATAATGTCGCTAATGTAGATCTGGGCACACACACCTTGATGTTTCCTTAGTGACAGCATGTGGGACATTTGTCTTGTTAGGCACAAGCGTTTTAGCATCATTGTCTCTGTCATCTGTGACAGCTGTTATAAGCTTGAGGCCTAAAAATAGCCCGATACCTTGCCAGCAGATGTCTACATTAACATTTTTATTTAGAGAAATGATCGCTCTCGCTGTCAACGATGCCTGAACATCAATGATTGATCAACTTTCTTTCGATCTTTCAGTTTTTTTTTTTATGTTGACGTGAGTGTTAGTGGGCACTGGCCTTGTGCAGATGGGCCGTGGGCGTTGTTTTCCTGTGCCGCTACTATAAGCTGGCACTGGACGGGTAAGCTGTCACTCGCTAACAGCTGTTATGGCAACGTGGTGAAGTAAATGGACAGCAAGACGGTAAATGATCAGGAGTCCGCTCTGAAATGATCATGCAATACCTTCTGGAGTAACACGGAACGCCAAAAGGCCTGATGATAAACAAAGATTTATTCTCTTTGTACGTGACTGCGGGCTTCTTTGAGCATATGTTTCATAGGACTGGAAGAGACGTGATGGGATCGATGGTGAATTCACCATGTCTCCAAACAAAAATGGTGGAGCTGAATATTGCTCTTAATAACCCTCGTTCATGATTTTTTTTTTTCTGTAAATCTATCGTAAAGCTGTTCTATTGTATATTTTTAGATCTTAGACATTAGACATTTTGCAAATAATAATAATAAACTATTTTATGTAGCTCCATTAAAAAGTACAGAGGTAAAAGATCAATCGATGTGTAAAGGACTAGAAAAAAACAAAGCAAATAAAATAAAAAAGAGACATATTTAAAATTACTTAGTATGTTAACTTAAAGTACGTTTTAAATCAGTGTCTCTCAACCATGTTCCTTGAGGACCACCAACACTGCATGTTTTGGATGTGTCCTTTGTCTGTCACACTAATTACAGGTCTTTCAGTCTCTGAGCTGAATCAGGTTGTTATGATTATCAGTGCAGATCGCAGACGGACTATAAATCTGCCATCATGGACTACAAGATCCAGTCATGCACCATACACACTCACACCAGTTCCTAATCCGGTCTGATTGCATGCACACAGCTGGAGGATTGTTGAAGGACTATTTAAGCAGCACAGACACTTACACTAGTTGCTGAGTCTTGTTAATCTGTCAAGTTAACATTACGGCGTGTTTTCCTTGCCTTGTCCTGTCGTGTTATTGACCCTAGCCTTGTTTGTTAGTTTGTTTGCGTTGCCTGCTGCATGCCTTTTGACCATCTGTCTGTGTATTCGACTATGACTCTGGATCTGTTTGCTCCTGATGGTGATCATTGCCTGTCTGACCATTCTCTGTATAAAACATCCTGTGTTGGGATCTGCACTCCATTGTCAGCGTCTTCCCTGTGACACAGGTGTGTTTGGTTAAGGAGACTTGGAAAATGGGCAGAGCTGCTGATCCTCATGAAACATGGTTATGTATTTTTAATAAATTTGCAACGATTTAAAAAATATATATTTTTTCATATTGTCATTATGAGGTATTGAGTGTAGAATTTTGAGGAAATAAATAAATTTAATCCATTTTGGAATAAGGCTGTAACAGAAAAAAAGTGGAAAAAGTGAAGCGCTATGAATACTTTCTGGATGCACTGTTTAATCGATCAAATTTTTCTAGGTCATTTTTTTCGATTACTTTTAGTACCGCATGCACGTGACTCAAATCTGTTGCTGGTTTACACGTTTGCAACAATCTCATGCTTATAGTCCGGCAGAGCCTTCACATGGTTGCATACCCATCGCCATGTCTGACGCCGACGCGCACCTTTCAAAAAATTGAACTTGATGTCAGAAAGACGCGTTGTGCAAGCTCTGTGATTGGTCAGCTTAATAATAGTGATAAGCATGGGTGACGCAGAGAGCCATGGGACAGCAGTCAGCCTATTGGAGCGAGTGTTTACCAGTGTGAAGTTCTGTGGAGGAGCTGTATCTTATGAAAAACACTAGTTTATGGGCACTACGTGACAGCTGCTGTCTAAGGAGAATTTCAAAAAACGTCATCTGCAGAAAAATACTTGCTGTGTCTATTTATTTATACGTTAGAAAATTATTAAATATATTTGGATTAATGAGAGATCTTTTTACTTTATTCATTTGCCTCCAATACCAACCTTTCCAGCCCCTGAGTTTTTGCTTAGTTTTGTTTAGTTCATACTACAAGAGCAATCCGGTTGAATGTGTTTTTGATTCCCTATAAATGCGGTCAAAAGTTGACAAGGTAAAAACGTTCACACTCCATTTATACCTGTACTTTGCGTTGTACACTTGTGATTGGATCAACAAAAATGCATCTTAATACCAGATGCAAACAGGGACATATTTTTGAACGTTTCACAAATGAAGCCCAATAAGAGAAACAACACAGAAAAAAGACTTTACACAGAGATATAATAAAAACGATGGCTTTCATTGAAGGAATCAATAAATGATTAAGTGATATTTCACAGGTCTTACCTCAGAGTGATGCTCATCATTCTGCTGTAACACTTCCATACACAGTTCTCCCAGGCGGATCATGTCCTCCAGTTTTTTCTCTGGAGATGCTTGGCTGTTATCTGATAACATACAGACGTCAGAAAGTTCACGATAAATGCCTACAGTTCTATGCATTCACAGAAAAAAAAAAAAATGAAAAGCAACAGATCTCAACTAAGGGTTTGGTCGGCTAAAGTACATTCACAGAATATTCTTCTGAAAATAAACAAAACTGTGAATGTAGCCAGGTACATCTTGACAACTTGAGCTAACTACCTACTTGATTCATATCTTTTCATAATTATAACACGATAGCCAGACCTGACTGACATACAGTAATGTCTAAATGTGTAGTGTAATGTAATGTTCAAAATTGTAGAGTTGCTATCTATTCAATGATAGACTGGCAGGGTATCAATAAATACATTAATTCAAGAATGTTTTGTTCAGACAACGTGTGTTTGGTTGATCTTAATAAGTGCTCATTAGCCCCTTTTACAGAGATACTGGTAAATATCTGGAAAAAAATTACTGAAACGATTTTACCGCTAAATTTAAAAAATTGGTTCACACAGGCAAGGACGTTCCCGAATTTTTCTGGAAAAGACCATTGACATATCCATTACAAAATAAAGGTAAATTCTGACATCACTAACCAGAAATGAGCTTTAAACGGCTGCGCTTGTATTTGTAAACGTAAAAGGGGTCGGGCTTTTTTTGATGGTTTTATGGTTTTACATTTATCGAAAGCTTTAGTTTTCATGCAGCTGCTTTGGTCCCAGAGACATCCAAAGGCAGAAACGTGAACCGCAGATAAATGTTTACACATTTGACTGCATTACAAATTCTGTGGATGGATAAGTATTGTGAACAACTACGCTGAAAACATGGAGGAACACCTTTGCATGTCGAGATGTACATAATATGTGTGTGTGAGTGTGTGTGTTGGTGCACTGCTGTACTTCACATGCACACGTGTCAAGCAACTGAAGTAGAGCTTGAAAGTAAACTAACTGCGGTATACTATAAGCATTTTATGGATAATTTTTCACACAGTTGGCATTCAGAAGAAACATACAAATGTAATACGACTAACAACTAGCAGCTTAATGTGTCTGGAAAAATATTCAAAGGCTTTTATATTTATAAGCAGTGTGGATGTGAACGCATCTGAATGTTCTGATTGGCTGGAGTAGATATCTCACACCAGTTTTAGACGTAAATGCACTCTTTTTGGCAATCTTCCTTTTGCGTTCACACAGCGCAGCATTCTGGCAAATTACCGGTAATGTTATAACTTCTCTCTCCGAAACAAATTTACCGGTATTTTCAAACAGGGCCTGTTCACACATACCTTTCTGGAAAATTGCCAGTAATTGTCTGTATGTGTGAAAGGGGCTATTGTCAGTTGCAAATGCAATGGTTTCTTTTTCTATTAGTGGGTTTGGCATCATGACAACTTGGTCTGTTAAAGAAATACTTCAGAATTCAGTTTGGAAACATAAACAGAAATATCCCAGCTGTCAGATAACTTTGAAAGTTGTCTAATTTTTAAATGTTAAAGCATAATTAAATTAAGCTGAAATAAGTTATTTATTTATTTTACACTACAGTGTACACAACAATGTGAAATTATGCCAAAATTGCAAAAATCATTGCTATGCTTGATAGTCTGTCATGCAATGCAATAATTATGGTCGCTTGAGGAAGCCACCTTACTGTTATCTCACTTAAACTTCTTCTGAGATTAAAGTATATATTCTCCTAAGCTTTTAAAGCTACATCCTTTAAACTTTCGCCAGACCTTCAAACTGGTCTGACTTGAGTTGCTATATCTTTTCCAAGTGATCCAAGTTTCGGTGTTTCAAAAAACAACCCAGAAAATTTTGAAAAGTCCCATTGACTTAACATTGGTTCAAACTTTGTGAGCTCATAACTCTGCATCAGACTGTCCTACAGACTTAAGAATGGCCTCATTTAACCGGGTCTAGCCAGCAGCCAACCACTGATGACCTTTAAAATTCCTAGCCACTCCCTAGCAACCAATTTCAGCACCCTAGCAACTGTCCTATAGACTTCCATTGTAAAAAACCTGTAATTGACTTAACATTGGATCAAACTTTGTGAGCTCATAACTCTGCATCAGACTGTCCTACAAAATAGTCTTGCCTTTTTCAACTTAATCTAGCCGGCAGCCAATTAAATATGATCTGTAAATGTACTAGCCACTCCCTAGCAACCAATTTCAGCACCCTAGCAACTCTCCCATAGACTGTAACTAGCTGTTCTAATACATGCTAATATTTTTAACATCCTATTGAAATACTTATGAAATGCTAAAATGATGCTAGTAACCTGCTAACTCATGTTGGAATCATGCTAACAATATACTAATCAATGTTAGAAACATGATCGCAACATATTAAGTCATGCTAGTATAATGCAATTATCAACCCACAGGGATCAACTTTAAAGGGGTGGTCCAGAATGTAATTTTAATGCTTAGTTGTGTTAATAAGATGCGAAGGAATGTGTGCTTATATTTCACTTAAAGTAAATTATTAAATTATTAATTTTTTTTTAGAAATCTCACTTTGATTATATACAGCTATTCAGCTAACATTAAAACGACTGTCATATTTCCTAGTTTCTCTAAAAGGCCTGCCCTCAAGAGGCTCTGATTGGTCATATCGGCTCCACGTCGCGCCCGTACAAGCACGCGTTTTGTGCTGTGTAAACAGTCAGTCAACCCAATGCCTGCTCTCTGAAATAACATCTGACAAGTGTCTGTAATGAGTGAAAATGGGGTGCGGCTCCTTTAAAAGAGATCGCCATTGTGTGTGTGTGTGTGTGTGTGTGTGTAAACTGGCTATAGACGCGTTTAACACGAGAAGTGCATGTGAGCGGGACCGATGTTTATTTTTATTTTTCTCTGATGCTCGGATAAAGTTATTTCTCTGTAATATACAGTGATGCTGAGGACAGAAGAATAAAGCACAAGATGTGTGATGCAACCTGTGTGAGCCTTGATGAAGTTTTCTGCTGCTACACGAGTTAGGCGAGTTCTCCTATTTTTTTTAACTCAACGCATTACACAACGTCTTTCACATATATTCAGAATATGCATGTGTAAGTATTAGGAGTCATTCACATATCTTTTGCGAGTTCATTATCTGAGATGTAGAGAGCAGGAAAAGCTGCCTATAGAGTGACACTGCACAGTCGCACACACATAAAGAGACACTTACGCGCAAGTGAAGACTATGTGTGTGTGTGTGTGTGTGTTTACAGCAGTTTGACTAATAAATATGAATTTGTAGCTAAATTGTTAGCGGTGCCAAACAGCATTTCCCATTGTTTTCATCTTTGCTACAACATACAGTTAAGGCTAGACACTGCAGATGTCATGATCAATTTTGACAAATAAAAACTCACAGGCTACGGCTTCTGCTTGTTGAAGATTTTCCTTCTTTGAGGAGATTTTACCCGAATCCAGCACTGAACTAGGAGAGATTTTGGAAGCTGTGTTTTGTCAAATCATGGTTGCTATGTATTTTATAATTCTCTGGAACATAATTATTATTGAACTGTAAGCACTTGTGTTTGTGTTGCATCATTTGAAAGCACAAATACAGAAACAGAAGAAGCTCTGTGTAAATAGCAGCGTTTGGATGCATGTTAGCTCCCTCTGCTGTAACATTATAGTGCCTCTGGCCACGCCCCTTAGCTGCACAGTGTGTGTGTGCGGTAAAAGTACTTTTTTTAAAGTATTTTTTTCATAGTGCCCAAAATTTGTTGATTAGGTCACAAAACTGGATGAAGTTGAGTTAATAAAGCATTTATTAACATACAAAATAAATATTTGAATAGGCCTAAACAATAAGATATATGAATGTTACTTTGAATAGTTTATTAATCATTTACTTGCTCATTCTTTCAGAATAAACTTTAAACTTCTCTCGAATAACTGGTTTGTAAATGATGCAATACTTACCTTAGTAATGAAAAAATAATAATTGAAGTATGAAAGAACAATCATTAAGCACATTTTAAATGTGCTCATAAGTCAAGAATAAAGCATTTGTATCCGCAGTTATAAACTGCTTACTAACGTCTATTAATGTAGAGTTGATGCTCAACAAATAATGAATTCACTATTTGCTAATGCTTAATATATGATTCACAGTGTGCAGTTATTATAATTAAAGTGTTACCAATAATTGATTAATTATAGTTCAACATTAATTAATGCATTGTTAAAATCCAATATTGTGCTTGTTAAAATTAGTTAATACACTCTCAGTTAACATGAACTAACACTATTTAACTTAAATAATAATAACTAACGTCAACAAAGATGAATAAATGCCACAATAAATGTATTACTACTTGTTTGTTCATGTTAGTAAATACATGAACTAAACAATGGACCATTATTTAAAAGTTTTACCAATATAAAAAAAATGTATTCAAAAACTAATGAAATATATTTTATTAAATAATTTTAAAACATAAAATATATATATATGGTGAGAAACCTTCAATCTGGGCGTATTCGGTGAGCTGGGAGTAATTGATGAGCGCAGCTTGTTCCAGGCACTTCTGCACAATCTTACGCATCTCTTCAGGTGGGACCGCTGTGGTGATGTCTTTCATCAGAACCTATGGAAAGACACACAGCACACGTTTTTCTCACATTTATTACGCATTAAACAAATGCCAGTCCGCACACAAGAGACAAGCATTTACTGTGCAAAAGCCTGTGTAGTTAATTAACAGACACTCACCCTTTCAAGAAGAGAGAGCGTGGCTTTAAGAGCCCCCTCCGGTCGGCCAAAGGGGAAACAGTACCTACAGGCAAGAAGACGGGGTAAAACTTGAGTACTAATTAAATGAAAGCTTAAAAAAAGAATACTGGCAGAGACTGACATAAGCTGAAGGAGTCAGTCACAAACCGCTGTTTCGCAGCTATCATGGGACAATAATTGCGTCTCTTAAATAGAGATGTTTTCCAAAGCCTGTCGAGGAGGGACAGGTGTCAGCGTGCGTTCGGACAATGCCAGGCGGGTTGAATGAAGGTGAAAGGGAAGTGGTTCTCATGGAGTCCTCATACCACAGGTGTGAGAGTCCCCTCCGAACAGCCCTTGACGCTTTTTTGTGCATGGGGGGCAAGAGGCACACTTACCAAATGACTCAACAAGCTCTAATCAGCTTGGGCTGGGCACCACACTTAATCCCCGGCACGCCCCGAACCAGCATTGCCTCCATTTGCATAATCCAAGATGTTGTTTGTAGCTTTTGTTTGAGTGGTTTTAGCTGGTTATTAGGTGCTGCTGCTACCACAAGACTTAAACCCCCCTTCCCTTTACTAGTGTTTCCAGGATTCTAAGGGCGGGCGGGTGGGCAGTGGAAAGTTGGTTTAAAATAAGAACCTATCAGAAAGAGGTGTGGTATAGGAGTAAACGGAGATGTTATATAGGGGTTTTACTTCTGAATATTCTATTATTACATTGTAACTACATTGTAACTACATGTTACTACATTGTTATTACAATGCAAGTACATGATGTTTAAACTGAGGCTTCAAATAGAAAAAAAAATAAAGAACAATCTGTAAATTAGTAAAACTTTGAATGCTCTGTTGAACTTGTACATTTCTGAGTTTTTTAGTACCAGTAATCCCGTATTGTGCGTTGTATATGGTTGGTATGGCAACTTATCACATTGTTTTCGTCATGTGTCACAAAAGTGAATAAATACTTTAGTGCATTTATTGTTGAAAGAGGTTTAGATTATTTTAATATTTAAACCAAAAAAAATCTCACCGGATAATTACAATTTACAACAAATTTAATGTTTGGAAATGTAGTAATACTTTTGGGTTTATTTTGATGAAACAACAAAGTAAAGGAAAAATGTAACGCAGTACATTTCTAACACATTTTTAACTAATAACCAGTGTTGGGTAAGTTACTTTAAAAAAGTAATAGATTACAAATTACTGACAACTATGTAAAAATTGTAATCTGATCACATTATTAATTATATAAAATAAAATTTTATAAAATATAAAAATAAAAACATTACAATAAGTTGATCACAGCAGCTTGACATATTCAAAAGACTAAAAGAGTTCACCCAAAACTTGAAATTCGCGCATCATTCACTTGTTCGCTCTTAGCACTTAAACACAAAAGAAGATATTAAGAAGAAAACTGGATGCCTGTAACCATTGACATCCATAGTATAAAAAATTGACATCCATAGTTTGAAAAAGCACTGCAGTGTTTGGGTGTTCAGTGTTTGTCTGAGGTAATTAATCTACCAAAATGTCGATATTTCATATAAAGTTTGAAGCTGATTGATCAGTTCTTGTTTTCAACTGTGCACCTGGGAAATGCGAGCGCGAGTGATATGCATTCCCAATAAGTGCGCGCACACAAAAGATGAGATATATGAACTCCCCCAAGCAGCTACGCTTTTCTTCATGTTTAGAAGACACATTCACTCCTGATCCTGCACAAAAATCCAATTTAGCCTGTTTTGACTGAGTTGGGGCGCTGTGTTTTTGGGAGCCGGTGTCCTCCTTGGTAACAAGTATTGTCGAAGAATGCTTTCTATTCAAGCACTTGAACAAGTTGCTGGTCGAGTTAAAAGCAGTTCATAAAAATATTTGTTTTTACGTACACAAAGTACACAAATTAAAAATGTATACATGATCGTCACATTACTGCGTTCCTCAAAAATGTAATTAGAAAGCAGTAATGTGTAATGCGTTACACCCAACTCTGTAATTACATTTAAATGACAGTAACTTTAATGCATTAATGGAAGTAACTTGGAAGTGAATTGGACTGGAAGTAACTTGCCTGATTCTACATTTAAATAGCCACATTTGATTGAGGGTACTATTTTTGGAGAATGAAAGAGTCAAAGTGCATAATTTCACCAGTGTTGCGATAAAAGCACAGTAGAGCTATTACAAGCATAAGTGGTGGCAACCATTGAAATGAATGGGTTTCATTGCTCAGTGCATCGCTTTTTTTATTATAGAAGTCAATGGTTGCAGGGTTTCAGCTTTTTTTTTTTAAATACTGGTAAGACTATATTTTGATGTAGAGGTCTGCATTCTGGCTGTACCATAGAAGCTGCGGAACCCGACCAGATTTCTTGCGGCGCCGGAATACATTTCCGAATAAAGCGCGGGAGCAGTCAGTAACTGGTGTAACTTTGTACTGGAGCAGGCGGTCTAACAATATCGCTCCCGAATCCCAAGCGAACGAGCACATGTATGTACAGTATGTGTATGAATAAGAGAGCGTGATGCTGTGTTTAGCTTGTTTGTTGCTGTCTACGTGTGTGTGTGTGTGAATGAGAGAGAGAGCTTTGCGCAGTCTGTGTGTGTGTGTGTGTGTGTGTGTGTGTGTGTGAATGAGAGAGAGCGTGATGCTGTCTCTGTGTGTGTCACTTGCTTAGTGCTGTGCATCTATGTGTGTGTGCGTTTAAACAGACAGCTTGTAATAGGCTGTCTGGACTCTGTATAGCTGGGTGGTTTTGGATTTTGTTCTACCCCCGCCCGTTAGCAGGATAGGGCGTAGTGAGTAGACAACGAGTCAGGCAGCGGGACAACAAATGCTGAATATTAGCCGGAGAGGTCGGGTTTGGACTAAAACCTGGTGGGAGTGGGATTCAAATTTTAGTCCAGCCCAAATCTCTATTTTGATACCCCCTTTTAACATTTTGTTGACTAAAATTGCATTGCAACTACATGCCAATTACTTCTCGTTTGAGATTTAGTAGACTGTCTGCTTAATATCTGCTGACACTGCTCCTTCAGCAGACATTCAACTGACTATAAGTAACTTTGCAAGTACATCAACATACTCTAAACCTGACTCTAACCGAACACTACTTAAAATCTAATGAGAATTAGTTGGCATGAAGATGCAATGTAACTTAAATTCAACAAAATGCATTAAATGGATCATCAAAAGGGGTGTTTAACAGAAGAAAAAAACTTAAAGTGGTTTGGAGCAAGTAAAGGGTGAGTAAACCATGAGTATGTTTCATTTTTGGGTAGAATGAGTGAATGAATGAATCAATCAATCAATCAGGGCGATGCAGTGGCGCAGTGGGTAGTACTGTCACCTCACAGCAAGATGGTCGCTGGTTCGAGCCTTGGCTGGGTCAGTTGGCGTTTCTGTGTGAGTTTGCATGTTCTCCCTGCCTTCGCGTGGGTTTCCTCCGGGTGCTCCGGTTTCCCCCCAGTCTAAAGACATGCAGTACAGGTGAATTGGGTAGGTTAAATTTTCCATAGTGTATGAGTGTGAATCTATGTGTGGATGTTTCCCAGAGATGGGTTGCGGCTGGTAGGGCATCCGCTGCGGTTCATTCCTCTGTGGCAACCCCGGATTAATAAGAAAATGAATGAATGAATGAATGAATAAATGAACAAATGAATCAATCAATCAATCAATTAATCCATCAATAATACAACAAATTGATCAATGAGCAAATCAATGGACAAACAAACAACCAAACGAATGACTCAATGAACAAATGATCGAACCAATCAACCAATAAATCAATTAGTAATATCAACTAACATTGTAAATATGAGAAAAAAGAAGTTTCAAAAACAGAAATATCTGATCATGTTGCCAATGCAATAACTGGCGCACTTGTACTGCATTCCAAAGGGTTTCATTATCAGCAAAACAGTGGAAAATGAAACGGCTTCCATTTTTGTTATGGTTAAAAGCGAATGGTTAAAAGCGACACAACAACTGGTTAGTTTACCTGCAATCCATTAGCTGACAATACGTTAAACTCCAGTTAAACTGATGTAGATTCTGTTGAATATTCTCTGTATATGGACAGAAGGAAATGTGACAGCTCGAGTTACCTGAAATGTGTGATCTGCTTCTCCAGTAAAGTCAACAATCTGCTCCTGATCTCCTCAAACTCCTCCTTCTCTCGTTCTGTAACTGTGCCCATGCCGTCAGGTCTGTCAAATCAAGGAGGAAATGTTCAATTGTTTGCTTTATTCTGTACAACACCTGCTCATTCATACCAAATGCCCTTGAATCCACTGTTGCAACCTTAAAACTCAAAAGATTTTTGAAAGCTGCCATCAGAACCGAACAATGAGTTGACTCACTGTTTGAAGTGTTTCACAAACCGAAATCATTAAACAAAAGAATATCAAACTAAATGTGTTTTTAGAAAATGAGATTAAGGTACAATGCAAAAAGAAAAACGATTGAAAATATCTTTGAAAAAAAGACAATCTTTAAGTAAAATAAAATCTCACTGTTTGAAGTGTTTCACAAACCGAAAACATTAAACAAAAGAATATCAAATTAAATGTGTTTTTAGAAAATGAGATTAAGGTACAATGCAAAAAGAAAAACGATTGAAAATATCTTTGAAAAAAAGACAATCTTTAAGTAAAATAAAATCTCACTGTTTGAAGTGTTTCACAAACCGAAAACATTAAACAAAAGAATATCAAATTAAATTTGTTTTTAGAAAATGAGATTAAGGTAAAATGCAAAAAGAAAAACAATCGAAAATATCTTGGGGAAAAAAAGACAATCATTAAGTAAAATAAAATAATGTAACCCAACAATTTAGAATCAACTCTTGTTAATAATATGCAATCTCTATTAAAAAATAAACTTTGAAATACTTGCACTCTTAAAAAAAGTGTTTATTAGTATTTGTTTGAATAAAAATGTAAAAATCTGAAAATATACACTACCTGGCAAAAGTCTTGTCGCCTATCCAAGTTTTAAAAACAACAAATATTAACTTGATTTTTAGTTGACCATTTGCTATCAGAAGTGGCTTATATGAAAGGCAAATGTCTCTAAATTACACTTATTTTACAAAAATAAAACATGATCATGCCTTAACTTTTAGTTATTTAATTAGAACAATAATCATTTGGTTAACTAGGCAAGTTAAGTTTGTTCTGCTGCCAATAGAAAACAAACAAAAAACTATTTCCTAAGGGGGCTACCATATTTTTTAAATTAGTTTCGTTTATTAGAAATTAAACCAACAGAAAAAAGAAAGAAATAATTGCAAATACTCTGAATATGCCCAAGCTCTGTTTCATTTAGAAAATATTTAGACATCATTTAGAAAATATTTGAAACTGTAATGAAGATCTCCATCGTAATCCACCCTTTCTATAAGAGCTGGAGCCAAGTGTAAAACTTTTGACGTGTAAAACCAAACCATGTATTGCAACAGTTTACTTTTCTTTTGTCTAGATAAACTGTAAACTCTTTACACTTCCACAAACTTCACATCAGATATGGATTCAAAGAACAGTTAAAATACTGTCTAACACCGAGCCCTTCCTTCTTCTAATGGCTCAAAATGGCTCATCAGCTGCCTCTTACGCATATTTTGTATTACACATGAAATTGACTATTGTACTTCACGCATTCAATATACAGTGGGAGAAATAAGTATTGAACATATTGTTTTCCTGGGAATAATATTTCTAAAGCAGCTGTTAAAAAGGAATTTAACCAGATCTTGGTAAACCCCAAAATAATACAAAAATGAAGATAAAACAAAACAAAAAATAAATAAATTAGAAAAATTAGTCATGTGTAATATTAATGGAATGATACAAGGAGAAAGTACTGAAATACATTTGATACTTTATATAAAAGGCTTTATTTTGTGATGGCAGCTTAAAGACACATCTTTTAAGAGTATATACAAAGTCACCTGCGTTGCTAACGTCTGATTTTTTTCACAGACTTCAACGGAGTGTAATAATCATAACGGTTCTGTGGGTCTCGTCTATCAAATCTGATCTTAATTTTGAATTTTCTATCAGATTCAAGTCAGGTGATTGATTCTTCAGCTTGTTTTCTTTCTCTGAAAGCATTCTAGAGTTTCCTTGGCTGTGCTTTGAATCATTGTCGCGTTGAAATATTCACCCTGGTTTCATCTTCATCATCCTGCTCATGTAATTGCTGGACTAAAGCAGCTAATATTCATTTACAATGTCGGAGGGCGGAGGATTGCTGAAGAACTACTGAGAGATTTCAGCTGCAGTCTGGGCTTTCGCTGTCTTTCTACACATCCCTTTCTTCATGTGTTCAATACTTTTATCCCTGTGTCATTTCATTGATTAAACTCTAATTAGTTTGTTCTTTGCATGTATGGATTTCTTTGGTTCTTACCAACATCTGGTGAAAAGTTTAAGTCAACAGTACCTTTAGAAATATGTTTTCTGAGAAAAATTGTGACTTATTTCCCTCACTGTAAATGTCCCACATTTGTATATTAAAAACCATTCATTCATTCATTTTCTTGTCGGCTTAGTTTCTTTATTAATCCGGGGTCGCCACAGCGGAATGAAACGCCAACTTATCCAGAAAGTTTTTTTACGCAGCGGATGCCCTTCCAGCCGCAACCCATCTCTGGGAAACATCCACACACACATTCACAGACACACTCATACACTCCGGACAATTTAGCCTACTCAATTCACCTGTACCGCATGTCTTTGGACTGTGGGGGAAACTGGAGCACCCAGAGGAAACCCACGCGAAGGCAGGGAGAACATGCAAACTCCACACAGAAACACCAACTGAGCCGAGGTTCGAACCAGAGACCCAGCGACCTTCTTGCTGTGAGGCGACAGCACTACCTACTGCGCCACTGCCTCGCCTATATTACATAACAGTCACTAGTAAAATAAACAATATATCTATAATAAAAAAACATAAACATTCCTAATGTTCTTTTTATGGCTGTAACAAGAATAAAAAGTTTACTAAATCAGCTATTGTCATTCCCAAATCAAATGTAGCCAGCATATGTTCCACCCCCAAACAATGAACGGTTGCATGGAAAGATTAGGCTAAGCTAATCATTCCAAACTTTGCTTAACCGTCGACAATAGCCAGTTTAGTTAGAAGCCGTTGTGCCTTTCTCTCCAAACTCTTCACACTATCTGAATAGGCCCAGCTTAGAGAAAGCTCTTTCCTTACAAACAAGCGCTAAAGGCAACTTGTAAACCTGTTCTGTTCTTCAAATCCCTCTCTCCATTAGTCGAAATCCGCCTTTTCTTTTTGACAAGAGCCAGCTAATCCCGACAGAACACAAAGACGGCGTGTGAAGAGCGACAGAAGATGTGTATGTGCGAGCGAAGAGAGAGAGAGAGAGATCTGCGTCTAAAGAAACTAAAAAAAAAAAAAAAAACTCCATTCCACATTATGGTAAAGGCTAAGGAGTGTATAAACTCAACATCGACCCTTTAATCTCGATGTCTTTGTCTGCTGTACTGTGTAGACTCATTAGTTCTGAAGGAAGGCCTCTTGGTTTAACTGCTTCTAACAAGAGGCCTGGGAATTGAACTGCTAGTGTGAAGGAGAATCGCTCTGGTTTTCCAGTTTGTACTCGCGCGACACCAAAACCTACGACGAAGCAAAAAGCCTTACGACTTTAGTTGGTAATTAAGTCTGGCGGCAATTCACACATCCTCCCATTGACTTGACTGATGCTAAACGGATCCTTTAAACCTTGAAAAGCATCCAATTCTACCTTACGTAACACAACATTATTAGTAGAGCTTTGCTAAGGATGGAATTTGTTGTCGGAGCCTAGTGTGACAGATTTTGGTGCCATTTAATGGGATTGTCAATGTATGTGTTTGTGTGTAGTTTGTGAAAAATGCAAAGGTGTTTTAGTTTTGGCAGAACATATATGACATCTGATCTGAAAAAAAAAAAAAGTTTAAAAAAAAGTAGTATCCTGTGCATGTCATAATTTGTCTTTTTGATGTTCCTTGTATACAGTAATTATTGTTATATAATAGCTATTATTGAAAATCTGTGCATTGTTGTGTCTTGCACGGGAAACTACACTGTAAAACCCAAAAAGTTAAGGTAACTCAAACCATTTGATGCAACTGATTGCACCAAATCATTTTAGTTCAAAAACTACTCAGAATGAGTACCGTCAACTTAATCCATTTAAGTAAATGAAGCAGTTTGAGCACAGTAAAACCCAATAAATGTAGAGAACTCAAACCAACTGAGTACTGTAAACTAGAGGTCTGCATTCCCGCGGCTGTCCTGCGGGCGCCGCAGGACCCGACCAGATTTCTACGGCGCGGGTATAAATTTCCGAATAACTCGCGGGAGCGGTCAGTAACGGGTTTAATTTGGAACGGGAGCGGGCTGTCAAGCAATATCGCTCCCGACTCCCGAGTGAGCACGCGTATATATGTGTGTAAATGAAATAGCGCGATGCTGTGTTTAGCTTGTTTGTTGCAGTGTGTGTGTGTGTGTGTGTGTGTATGTATGCATGCGCACGCTTGAATGAGGTGTGTGTGTGTGTGCGCGAATGAGAGAGAGAGAGCTTTGCCTCTGTGTGGGCTTGGTGCTTATGAGTGTGTGTTAGTGGGTGCGCGCGCGCGAATGAGAGAGAAAGCTTTGTCTGTGTGTGTGTGCTTGGTGCTGTGCGTGTGTGTGTTTATACAGACAGCTTGTTATAGGCTATCTGGACTGTATAACTGGGTGATTTTCGGTTTTGTTCTCCCCCCGCTCTTTAGCGGGATCGGGCGCGGCGGATAGAAAACGGGGCGGGTCGGGCAGCGGGACAACAAGTGCTTAATATAAGCGGGAGCGGTCGGGTTCGGGCGGGAGCGGGATTCAAAATTTAGTCCCGCGCAGATCTCTACTGTAAACCCAAAAAGTTAAGACAATTTAAATTGTTTGAGGAAACCGATTGCTACAAAACATTTGAGTGAAAAACTAATTTGTATAAGTACTGTGAACTTACTCCATTTAAGTTGAAGTAATGCAGTATTTAATTAACTCATTATCCTCATCACTAAATTCAAAACTGTTTTCAAATGAATTAACTTTCCGTAAATTTGAAGTTAACTACACTCATTTTATTTGATAAAGTTGACTGTTGGGTTTTACAGTGTAACAATAAATGAATGCATGCTTAAAGTGGAAAAGTAAA